TTTCTGAGGCAGTATCACTACGGAAGTAGATTGCCCAATCTTCCTTCCGAGGAGTGGCTGGTGGGTTTGAACCGCCAGCCTTCTGGTTAGCAGTCATGTGCCTTAGGCACTATGCTACCAGAGCTCTCCATATTATGTACTAGGTATATAAAAATAACTGTCAATAATTTCAGAGAGTACCATTTATAATCTTGTGTGATTCATAAGAATAATATTTAAAGATTTGAAAGAAACTTTAAAATCATTTGGGGTGATGTATTATTGTTTAGAAAATATTTTAACATAGTATCAAACATCTCTTAGAATTGGCCTTTTTTTTGGTTTTGGTTTCTTATGACTTTTTTATTTTTCTTCTTTATAGGAAGAATGTAGCTATGAACTAGAAATTCAATCTTATTTACAAATGGAAGATGTTAGCTCAATATATACTGTTTCCAGGAATGAATGTAATCCTCTTGCTGATGGCATCTTTACTAATAACAAGAAATCTTCATTTACAAATAATGTAAATCAAGGCAGTTCAACCTTAGTGACAGAATATGATAAAGAATGTGCTGAAATTTTTAAACAGTCTCATATCAAACTGACTGAAATTATTTCTCTGAAGAACGGAACTTCTAGAGAAATGATAAAAGATCAACCTGAAAAAGAAAATGCTGGTGTTGTGGATTCTTTACATACCAAAGGAAATTCTGCTGCTGCATACACTCTTCTGGTGGACCTACCAAGTGATAAAATGGCATCAGATAAAGATGACATTTCTGCCACATGTACTACCAATGAAAATATTGTTAATCAGCCAACAGAATGTCAGTTTACAAAATCTTCCAATTCATTTGCTGGAAATTTTTTAGATTCTGGCTATAACAGTTTTAATGATGAAATGTCTAGCTTATTTCTTCCATTTGAAGAAGAACTTTATTTAGCTAGAACAGATGATCAGTTTTGTAATTGTCACCCATTGACAAAAGAGATACTAGCTAACGTAGAACAATTTTTATCTCGTTCTCCTCCGCCTCTCAGTGGACTCTTAGATTTGGAATATGAAATTACAAAGAGTTCTATACTTGAGAATTCATTTTTCCTACCCTACACAGAGCATTTACAAAATGACAAATCCAACCGTTTACTGTCACATTTATTAAACTTACCCACTTTTAATATTAATCACCTTTCTGAAATAAGTTGCTTTTATGGTACAAATGATAAAGTTCGTGGTGAGTCGAGCTGCTGTGACGATGATGAAGTGCATAAAGATATTCAAGGTGAAAATTTAGTACCTAATAATCATGTTCAAATAAACACAAGGCCTTTAGTTAGGCAAAAAACTCCTGATGTTGAGAACAGTGGCCTCCCAGTATTGTCCACTGATCAGGATGAGAGCTTACTATTGTTTGAAGATGTTAGTACAGAATTTAATGATGGGAGCCTTTCTCCCTTAAACAGTAAATGCAAACCTTTATGTGTGTCAGACAAAACTGCTGAAAGTGAAATCTCTCAGTTCTTAATTTCTGATGAACTTTTGTTAGATGATAATTCTGAACCCCAGGATCAGATCATTCATGATACTAATAATTGCGGATTTCGTGATGGTTTGAGAGGTGTACACAAGGAAAAACTGAAGATTGATGAATATGTTTTTGACTGCTCTAAGGATTTATTCTCTGTTACCTTTGATTTAGGATTTTGTAGTCAAGATTCTAATGATGAAATGTTAGAACATTCATCAGATAAAAATAGACTTCCAAATGATCTATCTGGAGGATATTTACATGCTAAGGAGATAAGTGATGCAAATTATGTTTCAAATCAAGCATTAATACCAGGAGATAATGTTGAAAGTTTTGTGAGTAGAACTATTACTATCCCATCAAGTGACGATAAGCCGAGTCCAATTTCTGCACTTTTCCGCCTGGATGTAGCAGAAAATAAAAATAAAGAATTTACATCTCCTGGTTATTCTCAGTTTTCTTTGCCAGTAGGAGAGAAAGCTATGAGTACACCACTTTCTAAATCAAACACATTTAATTCATTCTCTAAGATGAGAGAGGAAATGCTTAAGACTCCAGGGTCTAATGAAAAAAAAGTAAAACTGCAGAGTTTCAAAGAAATATTGAATTCAACTTTTGATTCAGGACTATCTCCAGTAAAAGCAAAAAGAAGTGAACAAATCAGTCTGCATCCATCAAGTCCTTATTCTATTGAAGGTAAGATTTCATCTTTAAAAAACACACACATTTCTCAAGTAAATACTCTAGAAAAAAATTTTTTTTCAAAACGTGACTTCTTGGTATATATATGTTGTTGTTGTTACGTGCTGTCGAGTCGGACCTGACTCATAGCGAGCCCTCCTTGGGTTTCCGAGGTGGTATCACTACGGAAGTAGATTGCCCAGCCTTCCTTCCGAGGAGTGGCTGGTGGGTTTGAGCTGCCATCTTTCTGGTTAGCAGTCAAGTGCCTTAGGTACTGTGCTACCAGAGCTTTGTGTGTGTGTGTATATATATATATGGTATTAATGTATTATGTTTTTCTTAAGCTGATGCTTACTAATATAAGATTTATTTTATTTACATGTGTTTATTGTATGCAAGGCATGAGAGAGATATTATGCTAGATACTGAATTATAAAAGACGTCTGAGATTTGGCCTTAGCCGTTGATTGCAAAACACAAACCACACCAACTACTGGTGTGTTTTTTTGGTATGTATGCATATATGTATGTGTGTGTGTGTGTGTGTGTATATACCAGTCTTCTTTCTGAATACATGTTGTTTGTTGTTGTTGTTGTTAAGTGCCATCAAGTCGGCTCCGACTCATAGCGACCCCTCCTTGGGTTTCCGAGGTGGTATCACTACAGAAGTAGATTGCCTTCCTTCTGAGGAGTGGCTGGTGGGTTTGAACTGCCAGCCTTCTATTTAGCAGTCAGATGCCTTAGGTACTACACTACCAGAGCTCCCCCGAATACATATATGTATATATGTGTATATATATATATATATGTACACCCATTGCTGTTGAGTTGATTTAGACTCATAGTGACGCCATAGGACCTAGTATAACTGCCCTAGAGAGCTTCCCAGGCTATAAATCTTTATGGAAGCACACTGCCACATCTTTCTTTGCTGAGAGTGGCTGATGGGTTCAAACCACCAAACTATCAGTTAGCAGCCAAGCCCTTTAACCACTGTAACCCCCAGGGTTCATTGTACATATGTGTATGTATGTATATGTGTGTGTGTGTCTAAAATAGTAAGTAAATGTTCCCTAATAACTAATTTACTTACAGTTATTAAAAAGCCAAACCAACCTATTGCACTGAGTTACGTCTAATTTACGGCCATCCTGTGTGTTTCATGTGGAACTATGTGGAACTGCTCCATAGGGTTTTCTTGGCTGTAATCTGTATGGAAGCAGATTGCCAGGCCTTGCTTCCACATTGCTGCAGGGTAGGTTTGAACCACCAACCTTTAGGTTATAGTTGAGTGCAAACCATTTGCACCACCCAGGGACCCTGAATTAATTATTAGGGAATATTCATGTAGTATTTTTTGTTCCACATAATCAAACGAGAGGATTTAGGATTGTTTGCACATATTTATACATACATGTATATGTAAAATAATTCATTAAAAAAAATCAGGGATGAGTTGGTTGCTATAACTGGCTTCCTTCAAAAGTAATGGAAAAGAAATACTCGTTAGATTTTACAATGCTTATCTTTAAAAGGAATTCTTTAACTTTATCTGTCAGAGTATATGTTTTACTGGCACAAATAATAAGGAGACATTTACTAGTTGGATTTATATTAATTATCTCTTGCTGAATAACAACTAAGGAGCCCTTGTGGTGCTTGGCTAAGTTAAGTGCTTGGCTGCTAACTAAAAAGTGAGCAGTTCTAACCCACTAACTGCTTCACAGGAGTAAGATGTGGCATTCTGCTTCTGTAAAGATAACAACCTTGAAAACTGTGGGGCAATTTTATGTCCTATAGAGTCATTATGCATCAGAATTAACTCAGTTGCAGCAAGTTGCGTACGAATTACTTAAAAAAAGTTAGTAGCTTAAAATAAACATTTATTTCAGTTTCTGCAGGTCTGGAATTCAAGAGTTTCTCAGGGTTTATTGTGAAGTTTCAGTTAAGATTTTGACTGGACTTTCAGTAATCTGAAGGCTTGACTGGACCTGGAAAATCCATTTTAAAGATTGCCTATTCAGAAGAGAAGGAATGGGAGGCACACAGCAAATTCTAGTCCATAGCAGTTCTGAAATACAGCAGGCCAGAGATGGAGTGTTCCTTGAGTAGGACTCAAGGCCTGAAAATAATCCAGAGTTTATGACTCTGTCTTCTGGACATTTGCTCCTGCCTTTTGAATAATGTTTTTCCTCCATGACAAATAGCACCTGTGGCATTTTCTCAGCTTGCTTCCTTTTCATAGATATTTGAGGGTTCAAAGTCCTTTTTAATTTTGTACTATTTCTATCCCTTTTGGTTGTAGCTGCATTTCTGCCAGTGTAATTCTCTTAAATCCTTGTTGGTCTTCTTTGAATTTTATTGGTGTTCATTCTGTTGGAGACTAGCTATGCCCAAATATCTTTTGGAGAAAAGGCCTTTTACCTTGGGCTTCTCCTGAGTTGTCTGGGGACAATTTAATTTGAGCTTCTTAGACTGAGACCTATTGCTTGATTGAGAGTATCTGTGAGGGTTATTCCTAAAAATATGTAGAGGGGCTTTTGTCTTGACTGATTGGTACTCTGAGGCACTATCTATAATCTTTCTGAGGCCTTAACCAAGAATTTACAACTCACTATCCCTTAGCTTCATCTTTAGACAGTGTTTTCTTTAGTAGTACTTTGGAAGCCATTTCTTGTTTTTAGCATTGTTTGCCATCTGGATACACAGAATTTTGAAAACCTGCAAGTTCCAAATTTTTCTGTTTAATAGTCCTTTCTTTACTTTATCTCTCTCCTTTTGCATTTAGTATAATAGCAAGAAGCAACTAGGTGATATCTTAAATTTTTTGTCTGAAAGTGTACTTAACTAGCTAAAGGCATTCATTAGGTATACTTTCTACTTTCTTTGTAACTGGTATTGGTAAACTTTCTGGAACTGCATAAAGAAAGTATTACCTTTCCTCCAGCTACCAACAGGATTTTCCTTACTTTATTAAGTTCTTACCCATAGCCTCCTCAGCAGTCATTAATCTTCTCCAGTTTATTTGAGGCCTTTAAAGTTTTCACTGAAATTCACCTTAAAATTTCTTTCAGCTTTTGCTAACAGTCTTGTTCCAAAGCTCTTTCCACAGTTTAGATTTTGGTTATATGAACTCATTTCCAGGTACCAAAATATGTATCATTTATCTAATGCTGAATAACAAGTTACCCCAAAACAAACATTTGTTATCTCATGATTTATCTGTTGACGACTTTGAGAGTGGCTTAGTTGAGTGGCTTTGGCTCAAGATATTTCATGAGGTTGCAGTCAAGATGTTGGCAAGGACTGTAGTCATCTGAATGCTTTCACAGAGCTGGAAGACCTGCCTCCAGGATGGCTCACTCACATTGCTGTTCCTTCGAGATCTCAGTTTCTTGCCTGTGGACCTCTTCACAGAGTTGCTTGATGTGTCCATACAACACAGCAGCTGATTTTCCCCAGAGCAAGTGATGCAGGAGAGAGAGCAAGGATGAAGCCATAATACTTTTTATGAGCTAGACTCTGAATTAACACACCATTCTTTTTACTGTTTTCTGTTAGAAGCAAGTCATTAAACTCTGCCTACAATGGAACGGAGAGGAATTATGCACCGCATCTTGAGTATCAGAATTTGTGGACATATCTTAAAACCACAGCAGGGCTCTTATAGAAGGCTTGTTGCAAAATTGATTGTGTCTGCAAAGTTTTATGAAAATTCAGAAATAGAGCCTTGGTTAAGTACCTGAAAATTAGAAGTGTTTTAATTCATACATGAGAATTTTGTTTTTTAATATTCCCTCCTTTCCTTTTATTCTATTAATATCAAAAGAACTATAATTTATTACAAAAATTAGGAAAACCATAAATGCAGAGAGGAAAATAAAAACCCCTATAATCCAAATGCAATGACCCATGTCACTTTAGTTTTGTGTATTTCACTGTACCTAAATTATATTTCAATAAAATGTATTTTAAAAAGTTTTTTCTAGCTCTCCCTCCAAAATACTGAATTTGAAGTAACAAATGTTTTATATATTTTACCACAGTAAAGAACTATTAAAAATTTTCCATCTGAAAAAAAATTATTTTAACTTATGATAACTGCTATATAGGCAATAAATCAGGCCTTTGGAGTAGATAGTGGGGCCACTTTGTCTGGAGCTAGATAATATGGTATCCTACATGTTTCTGTTGAGCATTTGAAATGTGACTGGTCCCAAATTGAGATGTTATAAATATAAAACACATACTGGATCTTGAAGACTTAGTACAAAGAAAAAAATTTTAAGTATCTCTGTAATAATTTTTTATAGTGATTATATGTTGAAATAGAAGCTCTGGTAGTGTAGTGCCTAAGGCATTTGACTGCTAACCAGAAGGCTGGAAGTTCAAACCCACCAGCCATTCCTCAGAAGGAAGGTTGGGCAATCTACTTTCGTAGTGACACTGCCTTGGAAACCCAAGGAGGGGTCACTATGAGAAGGATCTGACTTGTTGACAGTGCATTTATATGTTGAAATGATATCATGGATATTACATTAAATAAAATATATTATGTAATGACAAAAAAAAAAAACCCTATAATCCCACCATGTGGAGAGAACACTCATTAACATTCTGGCAAATATCTTTGCAATTTTTATTTCATGCTTGTATACAAATGAAAAAGGATCTGTTCATATATTGTTTTGTAGGTTGCATTTTCATGTTTTGACTCCTTCAACTAGAAAAAAGATAAGCCACAAAGGGCAGAAGAAAGACCATAATAAATTTTAGAAATGAATTCTAGAACTGTTGATTAATAAAATTGTATTCTGCATTCTTCTGACTTCTTTGTGTTTAATTTGTAAAATTGAATCTGAGTCAAATATTTGTTTATTAGCAATATTTTTGTTTCTTGTTTTCCTTACTGCCACTGTTTTATTTTTCTGTCTCTTCTCATGCTAACTTTTTGACCAAAAAATTCTGACCTAATCTTTTTTGAGAGTGAATAAATAATGTTGAGATTGTCAGAAATAATCCTTATTCTAGCCATCAATAAAATAGATCATTGTGATTGGATAAACATAAATCTATTAACCAAGTTCATTATTTGTTTTCGTAAATTATAGATGAACATTTATTTACAAGCAGTGAAAGTGACAATGATGAAATTTTCCAAAGAAAAAGTAAGAAAACAAAAAGAAATGTTTTAAAATCCCCTGAGGTGAGTCATTTAGTAATCACAATAATTCAGTCATATAAAGGCAACTTTTTCATTTTGAAGACTTTTTTTTTTTGCTATTTTGCTATCTTTTTCTTTATTTTATCTAGGATCAGAAAAATAGTGAAGTTGATTCTCCACTTCATGCTGTCAAGAAGCGCAGAGTTCCTCCAAACAGGGTAAGTAAATAATGGAGAATGCATAGTAACTCAAATTCCTTTGGCATAAATATTTCAAAGAAAATATATCTACTTAGATGATTATAGGTGTATTTGATAATAGAGGTATATAGTTAAGAGAAAAATAGAGTAATTCCCATGTGTTGGTATTTTCTATTTTTTAGTTTTCAGAGAAAACTTTTGTTAGTTTCATAGGACTTTTCTAACACAATAAATATGAATATTAAAAATTTTTATACTCCCTTCACAAACAATCCAATTAAAAAATGGGCAGAAGACATGAATAGACACTTCACCAAGGAGGATATTCAAG